CATACTCAAACACACAGATACATAAGATTCAGACATATACACACACACAGACTCACACACACATGCACACACACACATTCACATACAAATTACATTGTACATGCAATACACACACTGATAGAACTTACTTCAATTCTGCTTTCCTTTAAATATTTTTAAAGATGTACTTATTACCGAAAGAGTGGTTATCAATGCTTACACTAATTAACCATGGGAAAGGTAGGTGATTTGCTTACTGTTCGTGCATCCCACACGGACAAGGTCTTGTCTGCAGAAGCGGTGAGAAGAGTGTTGGAGAAAGGAAAAAACTCAATGCTGTTCACAGAGTCTGTGTGTCCATACAAAGTATATCTGCACCGTTCACTGTGGAGAGGGATTAGGAACAATGGATTTAGGATCTTAGTACCAAATGTTTTTGCTTCCTATGCAATGCTAATAAAAACATCCAATGAACTGAAATATAATGTATGTGTCTTATACACACAACATATATATTTTGGATATTTATCTTTGGCATAAGATATCATAGGTACATCTTAAGATATGTCATTATCTTAGACATAGTGGCCCATGCTTGTAGTCTAGGACTCTGGAGGCAGCTTAGCCATGAGTTTTATCATGATGCAGGTTACAGAGTGACACTGTCACAAGTCATCAGAGGACAGTTTTGAAGAAACATTTTATAATCATATAAGCACTTTAAGCAATTAGTAGGATCAAATAAATTTAAATTACCTTTAAATAATGGAACCTGTTTTCGTGTTATTTCTATGCTCTTCTTGACATTTTTTCTTTAGGTACACACTGAGGTAGTGAGCCTTGGTCCTTGGTCACAAGCACTTTTACCCACTGTGGGGATTACTGATCATACACAATACTATTTATTTATTTATTTATTTATTTATTTATGTCATGAAATAACTACATAAAAATTACCTCCAATTTATATAATAAAAGAATTTGTTAAGAAAAATAATCTCCCACCAATCCCTAAGATCACAAACTTTCTTAGGCCACTATTTTTTTTTTCTGTGTTTCCTCAGCCTTGCTTCTACATTACAACCACACTTTTGGAATGTACTCATCTCCAATTTCAAGCCCAAAATATTCCCTTCCAATTGATCCATGATGGATCCAGGTCTTGGCATGTTAATGCCTCCTCTGGTAACTGTTATTTGCCTTTAGGGATGAGAATCTACACAAGTGTTTTTCAAAGTGTTTCATTCAGACTAGCAATATCAGCATCACTTGGGACTGGATCCAAAATGCAAATTCCCAGCCTCATCTCAAACCTATTGAATCAGAAACTCTGGAGTGAGGCCCAACAATCTGTTTTAGTAAGCACTCCAGGGAATTCAGTTGCATGCTGAAGTCTGAGAGCCATTGACTACTACAGGAAATGAGTGACAAGGAGAAGCCACTATGTCTTCACCCTTCCGCTTTCTGGATGGACTGTTCCTTAAAACAGGGTACACACTGAGCAGAATCACCTTTGTCTGTAATGACAGATCTTTTAAAAATAATGCTGTTCACAAACCCATTTTTAAAAATAGAGAAAGAAGAATCAGTAAATAAAAGTACTCAGAAGGCAGGAGTCAGCGTAGACACAGTAACAGGAGCATCAGCTGACCTCTCACTATAAAGCTCCTCTCTAGCTTTGCTGTGTCTCCTTGTAATTGTATGGTGTGAGCAGCAAAGCTGCACCAGACATAGAGACTGAATTCCATCCTGACCTGGACAAGAACCAGCGGGATAAGAGGTTAAAGGCTGGATTCCATCCTGACCTGGACAAAAGACCATCAGGATAAGAGGTTGAAGGCTGAATTTCATCCTTGAACTGGATAAGAACCATCAGGATAAGAGGCTAAAGGCTGGATTCCATCCTGACCTAGACAAGAATCAGTAGGATAAGAGTTCTCTGAGGGTAGCAGATTTCCTCCTTGGACAAAGGAAATGACTTAATGGAATGTACTCAGATGTTCAACTCATTTCTGCCATACTTTTACTGAGTGGGCAAATATAACATAGAAGGATAGGGCACCTTGAGCCTGGTGCCTTGGAGCTGTTACGACAACTTTTCTTCTCACTTTGTAAATTTGAGTATTTTTTTAAGAAGAAATATTAAGGTTTATCTGAATCTGATAATGGATTCAAGTTACTCTCCCTTTACATATTAATTGAAGTATTTTAATAACATATCAACAATAAAGAAATCAAATTATTAAACAAATTGAAGTGACTCAGTAGTAATTTACCTTAAAATGTAGGAGATTGCTTAATAAAATATTTGGTGTTTTTTCTGTTTGGGTTGTGTTTCTCGGAACTGAACCTAGGGCCTTCTGAATGCTTATTAAGTACTGTACCATCGGGCTACATCCTTAGTCTCTTGGCTAATGATATTTTAATAATTAAACCTGATGTATCAATATGTCCTGGTGTCTATGCCACAGCATATGAACTAAATTTTTATTTTTATAAATTCCATTTTAGAAGCAGGAAGACTCACATGTGCATTGTCTTGTGTTCAGTTTCACTAACCTCTGATCACAATTACAGCAAAGACCATGTGACCCATGAATCTAAATTGCTTAATACTAATACTTGTTCTATAAGAAGCATGTATCCCATCACCTGTGAGGTATACCAATGTATCTGAATATTTACAAGTGTGCTTCAACTTTACAGTATCGGATTTCTTTCATTTTTGAAAACTATATAATAGATTTTTGCTTTCTTAAATGAATTATCTTGTTTGAAAATTTAACTGCTAATTTCTAGTGATATGAAATGAATGAGTACAAAATTATTTTTTGAAATTTCATATTCTAATGCCATTTTTAAATATTATCAGAATTTATCACAATATTATCACAACTTTAAATATTATCATAATTGTTATAGCTCTAGGGAGAGAAATGATGCTGAGGCAGACTAAGGAAGAGAGGGTGAAAAACAGGGACTGATTATACATGTGGCAATGCTGTACCTGTCACTTAAATCACAACTTGATCATAACATAAACAAAAATAATCGAAAGAACTGATCAAAGTCAAGTAAATAACTTTTCAGTATAAGACATATCACTGTTTTATTTGCTTTCAGTTTTAAAAATTTTATTTACTGATAGTATGTATCCGTGTGCATATGTGTGGGTGTAATAGTTCTCTGTGTGTGTTTGTGTGTGTAAGGGGCATGTACGTGTGAGTGTAATGGTTGTATGTGTGCATGTGTGTGTGTGTGTCACGGGAGCAGTGCAGGAAAGGCTGTGGCAAACTGGTGAGCTTCCTGGAGATGGCCCCCAGATTTGCATGGCTGCAATGGGCATGCTCTTTAGAGGCATGGAACCCAGGGACTTCGTCCCAGGATTGCTTGTTGCTGTTGATATGCTTTTCCATGCTTGCTTGTTGCTGTATTTCTCATTCTTCTGACATGGTGTGACTGGGCAAAGAAAGACCCTTTCTGTTTATAGTTCCTTATGACCGATTCCTGGATATTAATCCACAATCTACTACTGAGCAAATCTCCTGTCAATCAATATGAAGAAGAACTTCCATGAATTAATGCTGTTTAGAAGAATTAATGATTTTACAGAATTCCTAATTTGATTCAAATAATTTTAGAATATTAGAATGATTGATAGAGAGTTTAAGGAGATTAAATTTCCCCCAAAAAAGATACAATAAACTTAGAATCAAGAATAGAATTTGCCCCTCGTCACAAAATACTAAGTAAAGGCTGCATGAAAAGGAGTTCAATAAACTTTTGTAAGTTAAAAGTACATAAATTACACTAGTAAAACATAGGCTTGGAACAGGTTATGTCAAGAAAAAATACTCATTCTAGGTCAGATCCAAGGACAAGGCCACAGGTCTGCACCATGATAAAGAAAGGTCGTGACCGTATAAAATTATTGTTTTGAATTTATAATGAGCTTATAGAGTGAAACACAGATAAAACAACTGTTTTGAACTTATTACCAACAACTCTGCTATAACATCCTCTTGTATAACATTTTTTATGTAAGACAATTTTTTCTTATGTAGAGAAATTTGTCTCAGGGGATATAAATGAATTTAAGGAAAAAAATGAAGTTCTTCGAAGCTGCTTGTAAGAGCTCTGTTCTATCCATCAACGCTAAATATGTGTGTATGTACATATGAATATATCTATACAAGTATGTAATATGTGTGTATGTACATATGACTATATCAATACAAGTATGTAATATGTGGTATGTACATATGAATATAAGTATGTATATGTGTAAAATTATTAGTTGTTGGAGCTCCCTTTTCATTTATGTAGTTCTCTTTCTTTTTACTTTTTTGTTGTCCCTTTATGAGTTAAAAGAGTTCAGATTTCTCACTGGTTACAGAGTGTACTGGCCCGAGCTAATTAAGTTTTGCCTCCATCAGCACTACTAGCAATAACCCTGTAAATTGCCTGTTATCAGCACTGACCCCAATTGCTGGCTACACACCTATCTGTCTTCCTCAGTTACCTGTGGTATCAAAACTGGCCTTCAAGATTTTGGTGCCTGGAATAGGTACCTACAGAGGTAAACTCCTTATTGTTTTGGTGTGGATAGGAGGTTCACCTAGGTTATGGCAGATCCCCTTATTAGTTAGGATAGGTGAGAAATCAGAATCTCTGTATGTTTACTCTAGACACTGGCTGTCAGCAGCAGCAGCCCCCGTCAGCTGCTGTCAGCACTGCTATTGCTGACTCTATACCTTGCTATCTTCCTCAGTTTACCTGTCATATCAAAATTGGCCTTAGACATGTATGGAAGGGGTGTGTGTGTATGTGTGTGTGTATATAAGGGGTGTGTGTGTATATTTGTGTCTTTATTTGTGTCTGTCTCTGTCTGTCTGTCTGTATGTATGTATGTATGTATGTATGTATGGTGTGTCTGTGTGTGTGTGTATGTGTGTATATGTAAGGAGTATGTGTGCTTGTGTCTGTGTGTGTGTCTGTGTGTATGTATGTATGTATGTATGGTGTGTGTGTGTATGAATGTAAGGGGTGTGTGCATGTTTGTGTCTGTGTGTGATATGTATGTATGTAAAGTGAATATGTGTGTGTATATGTATCATGATACATGTATGGTGACCAGAGGACAATCATATTGAGTCACTTCTTTCTTTCTCTCTACACTTACGTGTATTTTGGTGATAGACATTAGGCCAATGCTTGTGTGTTAAGTACCTTTACCCACTGAGCCATCTTGCTGGACTCAGAAATCACCATTTAAAAATAACTCATGACTTCTCAAACATGAGCTGGCCAAGGATGACAACAATAGGCATGTCAAAATGGGCAGAGAAAGTCCCAGGAGCCTTCAAACCTACACATGTCACTAT